TTCACGGTAAACGCTGCATATGTCGGCTCATCAGAAAATGACGCAATGCCTATAACCCGCGATCGAATTGAACCCCGGGCCCTATTCTATTCCATTCAATCTGGCCCCAGGTGTCGCTACCTCATGATCAGAGCTGCCAGTGAAAGAACGGCTTCCAAAAAAAAAAAATAATCAAAGAATTTTTAATTTAGCAGACACTCTTATCCAGAGCGACTTACAGGAGCAATTAGGGTTAAGTGCCTTGCTCAAGGGCACATCGACATATTTTTCACCTAGTCAGCTTGGGGATTATAACCAGCGACCTTTCGGTTACTGGCACAACGCTCTTAACCACTAAAGCTACCTGCCGCCCAGAAGACAGGTTTCCAAAAAAAGAAATAGGCTACCTAATGTGGTCCTCTGTAGCTCAGCTGGTAGAGCACGGCGCTTGGAACGCTAAAAGGTACTGGGTTCGATCCCCGGGACCACCCCATACACTTTTGGATAAAAGCGTCTGCTAAATGGCATATTATTATTATTAATTCAGTGTAATGATAGAACACTATGAATCCATTGTGACGGAGTCCCTCATTCATCAGAGAAGAAGGAGAAACGTAGACATTTAATCTATTCCTACTGGGGAATACTGGAACTATCAGTGGATTTACACTATATATATACACACACACAAAATGTGGACGCCCCTTCAAATTAGTGGATTCGGCTATTTCAGCCACACCCGTTGCTGACAGGTTTATAAAACCGAGCACACAGCCATGCGATCTCCATAGACAAACATTGACAGTAGAATGGGCCTGTACTGAAGAGCTCGGTGACTTTCAACGTGGCACCGTCGTAGGACGCCACCTTTCCAACAAGACAGTTCGTCAACATTCTGCCCTGCTAGAGCTGCCCCTGTCAACTGTAAGTGCTGTTATTGTGAAGTGGAAACGTCTAGGAGCAACAACGGCTCAGCCGCGAAGTTGTAGGTCACACAAGCTCACAGAACTGGACCGCCGAGTGCTGAAGCACGTAGAGGGTAAAAATCGTCTGTCCTCGGTAGCAATACTCACTACCGAGTTCCAAACTGCCTCTGGAAGCAACGTCAGCACAATAACTGTTTGTCGGGAGCTTCATGAAATGGGTTTCCATGGCCAAGCAGCCAATCACAAGCCTAAGATCACCATGCGCAATGCCAAGCGTCGGCTGGAGTGGTGTAAAGCTCACCGCCATTGGACTCTGGAGCAGTGGAAACGCGTTCTCTGGAGTGATGAATCACGCTTCACCATCTGGCAGTCCGACGGACGAATCTGGGTTTGGTGGATGCCAGGAGAACACTACCTGCCCCAATGCATACTGACAACTGTAAAGTTTGGTGCAGGAGGAATAATGGTCTGGGGCTGTTTTTCATGGTTTTCCAGTGAAGCGAAATCTTAACGCTACAGCATACAATGACATTCTAGACGATTCTGTGCTTCCAACTTTGTGGCAACAGTTTGTGGAAGGCCCTTTCCTGTTTCAGCATGACAATGCCCCCGTGCACAAAGCGAGGTCCATACAGAAATGGTTTGTCGAGATCGGTGTGGAAGAACTTGACTGGCCTGCACAGAGCCCTGACCTCAACCCCATCGAACACCTTTGGGATGAATTGGAACGCCAACTGCGAGCCAGGCCTAACATCAGTGGCCGACCTCACTAATGCTCGTGGCTGAATGGAAGCAAGTCCCCGCAGCAATGTTCCAACATCTAGTGGAAAGCCTTCCCAGAAGAGTGGAGGCTGTTATAGCAGCAAAGGGGGAACCAACTCCATATTAATGCCCATGATTTTGGAATGAGATGTTGGACGAGCAGGTGTCCACATACTTCTGGTCATGTGGTGTATTGTTTGGTATTGCCTTTTCTTTTGTATCCAAGTGGCACCCCCTATATCTGATGCTTTACAACATCTAGGGATAGCTATTATCTAACTGGCATTGTTCATGTCTTGAAGTTTTAGCCCCCTGCATCCATTGGACTTAATACGCTTCTTCAAGATCACCTATTCATGCTTTAGTCTGAGTGACAATAGATCTCTTAACAAGATTTAGACTTTCAGGTTATCGGAAAGAACATCCATTTCAAAAGAATACTTATTTTTGTACATTTCTTATTTATCTGCATGTCCAAGAGGGATTAGGGAACCTACATTACAACGCCCTTTACACAGTTCTAATCTTCTCTAGCTTTAACCCACCGTAGAGTAGAGTAGACCATTTTTCAAATGATTATTTTGTCCCCATGTTCTTTCATGTTCCAGGTACTCCATCCATAAATGGTTGGGGAGCCTTTCAGTTAAAATGGCGGAGACAGTAGGAGTCCCAGTGTATCCGTCCTTGTCCGCCGTGGGAGTCACATTGTGGACGCCCAATTAGGTATTTTATTACAGAGAACATCAAAAAGACATAAGCATGGTGTCCATCAGGAGGTGGGAAAATACCCTGGGAGTTAGGCTGAGGGTCTAAATGGCACCCTATTTCCCTATGGCTCTGGTCAAAAGTAGTGCACTGAGTGGAGAATAGGGTGTCGTATAGGACACCGCCTTAGTCCTGTGTCTGCCATTGAAGATGATGATTCTAATAGTGAAGAGGTTGGTGGGTCAGGAGACTGATAAGAGTGGGTAGTGCTACACCTCCCTGAAGCCCTCCTAAAAATCACACCCTATTCCCTATATAGCGCACTACAAAAACACAGCCCTCATCACCTGCAGCACGCCCTATCTGCTAGCTGTCCTTAAGATCTGTCAAAAGACAAGACACCACGTCATTTACTTTAGATATACACTACATGGCCAAAAGGTATGTGGACACCCCTTCAAATTAGTGGATTCGGCTATTTCAGCCACACCTGTTACTAAACGTGTATAAAATGTAGTAGGCCACACAAGCTCATAGAACGGGACCGCCGAGTGCTGAAATCGTCTGTCCTCGGTTGCAACACTCCACTACCGAGTTCCAAACTGCCTCTGGGAAGCAACGTCAGCACAAGAACTGTTCGTCGGGAGCTTCATGAAATGGGTTTCCATGGCTGAGCAGCCAATCACAAGCCTAAGATCACCATGCGCGATGCCAAGCGTCGGCTGGAGTGGTGTAAAGCTCACCACCATTGGACTCTGGAGCAGTGAAAACGCGTTCTCCGGAGTGATGAATCACGCTTCACCATCTGGCAGTCCGACGGACGAATCTGGGTTTTGTGGATGCCAGGAGAATGCTACCTGCCCGAATGCATATTGTCAACTGTAAAGTTTGGTGGAGGATAAATAATGGTCTGGGGCTGTTTTTCATGGTTCGGGCTAGGCCCCTTAGTTTCAGTGAAGGGAAATCTTAACACTACAGCATACAATGACATTCTAGATGATTCTGTGCTTCCAACTTTGTGGCAACAGTTTGGGGAAGGCCCTTTCCTGTTTCCGCATGACAATACCCCCGTCCACAAAGCGAGGTCCATACAGAAATGGTTTGTCAAGATCGGTGTGGAAGAACTTGACTGGCCTGCACAGAGCCCTGACCTCAACCACATTGAACACCTTTGGGATGAATTGGAACGCCGACTGCGAGCCAGGCCTAATCGCCCAACATCAGTGCCCGAAATCACTTATGCTCTTTTGGCTGAATGGAAGCAAGTCCCAGCAGCAATGTTCCAACATCTAGTGGAAAGCCTTCCCAGAAGAGTGGAGGCTGTTATAGCAGCAAAGGGGGGACCAACTCCATATTAATTTAATTGACAGGCAGAACGAACAAACAGACAGAGACAGGCAGACAGCTGTGACATAGGGTGACAGACAGACAGCTGTGATATAGGGTGTCAGACAGACAGCTGTGATATAGGGTGTCAGACAGACAGACAGCTGTGACATAGGGTGTCAGACAGACAGACAGCTGTGATATAGGGTGTCAGACAGACAGACAGCTGTGACATAGGGCGTCAGACAGACAGACAGCTGTGACAAGCGTCTGAGTGAAGAGAAGATGATCTGTGTCTGATATGATCCACAGTGGATCTACACTGATCTATCTGTTATCTTCACAACTATAGAGATATACTGATATACAGATCTGATCTCACTAGCCTGGCCCCAGATCGGATCTCACTAGCCTGGCCCCAGATCGGATCTCACTAGCCTGGCCCCAGATCGGATCTCACTAGCCTGGCCCCAGATCTGATCTCACTAGCCTGGCCCCAGATCTGATCTTACTAGCCTGGCCCCAGATCTGATCTCACTAGCCTGGCCCCAGATCTGTTTCTGCTTTTGCCTTCTCCATTTTCATTGTCAAGCCAAACAGTTCCATAAGGAGTTGGCAAGAGAGCAGAAACAGACTGGCACCCAGGCTACATTATCATTCACCCAGGCTACATTATCATTCACCCAGGCTACATTATCATTCACCCAGGCTACATTATCATTCACCCAGGCTACATTATCATTCACCCAGGCTACATTATCATTCACCCAGGCTACATTATCATTCACCCAGGCTACATTATCATTCACCCAGTCTGCATTATCATCCACCCAGTCTACATTATAATTCACCCATGCTACATGATAATTGACCCAGGCTACATGATAATTCACCCAGGCTACATGATAATTCACCCAGGCTACATGATAATTCACCCAGGCTATTTCAACCCTAGTCCACTCACAACTTTGTCCCAGTTTCAATATCCATACTAGCATGGTGTACAGGTGTATTACACAGTGGTGGTTAAGCTTAGATACTGTTTCTCCCTCTGATTTGGTCTCTGTCTACAGTTAGAGATATTATCCTCAGAGAAGACCTTAGGGGGTTGCTACTGGTCCAGGCACGGAGAGGGGAGAGGAGAGGGGGAGAGGAGGGGAGAGAGAGGAGCGAGATATAGGAGAGAGGGAGCGCGAGGAGGGGAGGAGAGAGGGGAGAGAGAGGGGATGACGGGGGAGAGAGAGAGGGAGAAGAGAAAGAGGGGTGGAGAGGATGGGAGGGAGAGGATAGTACTGAGAAGCGTTAGAGGGAGGGGTCGCGAGGCGGGAGAGGTACGAGAGTTGAGCAGGGGGAGAGAGAGAGGAGGGGTGTATAGGAGTTTCGGGGGGGGGCTGAGAGAGAGGCGCCGTAGTTCTCGATGTCTTTAGGGGAGATGGAGTGGGGGGGGGTGAGAGGGGGGAGGGGGAGGCCTGTGTGTGAGCCTCCACTGAGAGCACAGAGCCCTGAGGGAGAAGGATGGGAGTGGAGGGAGTCACACAGAGGACTAACCATCTCCTCCCTCCTCACCCTCTTACTTTCTGTGTCAGGGGACTTGTCAGGATGACTTCATCCAACCCTCAGCCCTCACATTTCAACAAGACAACTTTTCCTTTATTTTCCCGGCTGGTAAGTCACACATCCTACCGCTGGTTCACCCTTCCACCCTCTCAGAGCTGACGACAGACAGACAGCTCCATTTCCTTTGGAGGGAAATGACTTATGTTGTAAATGTCTGACAGATAGTGATCTATCTTCTCTGACTGAGAATGGATACTGGTGTCCCTGTGGTCTACCTGTAGGATTCTATAATTGGACCTTTGTTATTCCTAATCTATATCAATGACCTTGCTGCTGTGTCTTCTACCGTACTTCCAATTCTCTTTGCTGATGATACCAATTTGATTTTATCACAAAATAATTTTGATTTACTAATTAATGAAGCCAACTCAGGTATGGCCAAATTTTCTGAATGGTTCCAGATAATTTGTTTATCTTTAAATGTAAAAAAAATAAAAAAATACTTTATTGTATTCACTTGTAAAAATAAGAAATATTGTAAAAAATATAAAAAGATCCAGAATTCAACAGTGAAGAGGCGACTCCGGGATGCTGACCTTCTAGGCAGAGTTGCAAAGAAAAAGCCATATCTCAGGACTGCCCATCTTAATCTTTTATTTTTATTGGCCAGTCTGAGATATGGCTTTTTCTTTGCAACTCTGCCTAGAAGGTCAGCATCCTGGAGTCGCCTCTTCACTGTTGACGTTGAGACTGAGGTTTTGCGGGTACTATTTAATGAAGCTGCCAGTTGAGGACCTGTGAGGCGCCTGATTCTCAAACTAGACACTCTAATGTATTTGTCCTCTTGCTCAGTTGTGCACCGGGGCCTCCCACTCCTCTTTCTATTCTGGTTAGAGCCAGTTTGCGCTGTTCTGTGAAGGGAGTAGTACACAGCGTTGTACGAGATCTTCAGTTTCTTGGCAATTTCTCGCATGGAATAGCCTTCATTTCTCAGAACAAGAATAGACTGACGAGTTTCAGAAGGAAGTTCTTTGTTTCTGGCCATTTTGAGCCTGTAATCGAACCGACAATTGCTGATGCTCCAGATACTCAACTAGTCTCAAGAAGGCCAGTTTTATTGCTTCTTTAAATCAGCACAGCAGTTTTCAGCTGTGCTAACATAATTTCAAAAGGGTTTTCTAATGATCAATTAGCCTTTTAAAATGATAAACTTGGATTAGCAAACACAACGTGCCATTGGAACACAGGACTGATGGTTGCTGATAATGGGCCTCTGTTCGCCTATGTAGATATTCCATTTTTTTTTTTAATCAGCCGTTTCCAGCTACAATAGCCATTTACAACATTAACAATGTCTACACTGTATTTCTGATCAATTTGATGTTATTTTAAAAAGGGACAAAAAAATTGCTTTTCTTTAGAAAACAAGGACTTTTCTAAGTGACCCCAAACTTTTGAACGGTAGTGTAAATACTATATACAGGGTCAGTTCCAGTACCATATTAACAATGTGTAGGGATACTGGAGTGATAGAGGTAGATATGTATAGGGGTAAGGTGACTATATACAGGGTCAGTACCATATTAACAATGTGCAGGGATACTGGAGTGATGGAGGTAGATATGTATAGGGGTAAAGTGACTAGGCATCAGGATATATGATATAATAATTATAATAATATAATAATAATAATAAGTCATTTAGCAGACGCTCTTATCCAGAGCGACTAACAGGAGCAATTATGGTTAAGTGCCTTGCTCAAGGGCACATCGACAGATTTTTCACCTAGTCGGGCTCGGGGATTCGAACCAGCGACCTTTCGGGTTACTGGCACAACGCTCTTAACCACTAAAGCTACCTGCCGCCCGATAAACAGGGCAGCAGCAGCATAAATGATGACGTAACAGGGCTAACAACAGGACCAGCCGGAAGCCATTAGAGGACCAGCTAGCACCAATAACTATTTTAGATCCATTCCCAGACCCAGACCACTTACTTTATGTCTCTACAACATAAGTGCATTTCTGTGAGACGTTAAAATATGAACGTCCCCCTTTTTCTCTCTTCAATGGGGGGGTTGTCTGGTCGTCTGGCTTGACTGGACTTGAGAGAGCTACAAATCTAGCACTGATTTCATTTAGCCCTTCACAAACATGTCTTAATGTTGTTAACCCCGGTGCATTCACTGACAAACCTCTCTGTGACTCCATTAACTAAAGCAAAATGGGGTTTAAAAAAGAGCATATTGATGCCCAGCGTTATTAAGGCTGATTATCAAGACAACAGACAACGGGCCAAAGTGTCTGCTAACTGGTTTATCTGGGATTCAACATAACCATAACAGATGGGAAACAGGGTTCTGAATTAGAATCTAGGGTGCGTCCCAAATGGCCTATTTAGTGCACTACTTTTGACCAGGGCCCATAGGCAGGGGGACATGCAGAGAGTGTGACATCACCAACTCATAACAAAAACGTTACAACACAGATTGTTTTGATATACAGTGCATTCGGAAAGTATTCAGACCCCTTGACTCTTTCCACATTTTGTTAAGCAACAGCCTTATTCTAAAATTGATTTAAATGGTTTTTTCCCCCTCAAATCTATACACAATACCCCATAATGACAAAGCAAAAACAAGTTTTTAGAAATGTTAGTAAATTTAAAATTTAAATAAAGAAATATCACATTTAAATAACTATTCAGACCCTTTGCTATGAGACTCGAAATTGAGCACAGGTGAATCCTGTTTCCATTGATCATCCTTCAGATGTTTATACAACTTTATTGGAGTCCACCTGTGGTAAATTCAATTGATTGGACATGATTTGGAAAGGCACACACCTGTCTATATAAGGCCCCACAGTTGACAGTGCATGTCAGAGCAAAAACCAAGCCATGAGATTGAAGGAATTGTCCGTAGAGCTCCGAGACAGGGTTGTGTCAAGGCACAGATCTGGGGAAGGGTACCAAAACATTTCTGCAGCATTGAAGGTCCCCAAGAACACAGTGGCCTCCATCATTCTTAAATGGAAGAAGTTTGGAACCACCAAGACTCTTCCTAGAGCTGGCCGCCCGGCCAAACTGAGCAATTGGGGGAGAAAGGCCTTGGTCAGGGAGGTGACCAAGAACCCAAATGGTCACTTTGACAGAGGTCTAGAGTTCCTCTGTGGAGATGGGAGAACCTTCCAGAAGGACAACCATCTCTGCTGCACTCCACCAATCAGGCCTTTATGGTAGAGTGGCCAGACGGAAGCCACTCCTCAGTAAAAAGGCACATGACAGCCCGCTTGGAGTTAGCCAAAAGGCACCTAAAGGACTCTCAGACCATGAGAAACACGATTCTCTGGTCTGATGAAACCAAGATTGAACTCTTTGGCCTGAATGCCAAGCGTCACGCCTGGAGGAAACCTGGCACCATCCCTACGGTGAAGCATGGTGGTGGCAACATCATGCTGTGGGGATGTTTTTCAGCTGTGGGGACTGGGAGACTAGTCTGGATCGAGGGAAAGCTGAACAGAGCAAAGTATAGAGAGATCCTTGATGAAAACCTGCTCCAGAGTGCTCAGGACCTCAGACTGGGGCGAAGGTTCACCTTCCAACAGGACAACGACCCTAAGCACACAGCCAAGACAACGCAGGAGTGGCTTCGGGACAAATCTCTCAACGTCCTTGAGTGGCCAAGTCAGAGCCCGGACTCAAACCTGTTCGAACATCTCCGGAGAGACCTGAAAATAGCTGTGCAGCGACGCTCCCCATCCAACCTGACAGAGCTTGAGAGGATCTGCAGAGAGGAATACGAGAAACTCCCCAAATACAGGTGTGCCAAGCTTGTAGCGTCATACCCAAGAAGACTCGAGGCTGTAATCGCTGCCAAAGGTGCTTCAACAAAGTACAGGGTCTGAATACTTATGTAAATGTCATTTCCATTTTTTTGTATTTTATACGATTGCAAAAGTTTCTAAAAACCTGGTTCTGATTTGTCATTACGGGGTATTGTGTGTGTAGATTGATGAGGGAAAAATTTTTTTTTTAGAATAAGGCTGTAACATAACAAAATGTGGAAAATGTCAAGGGGTCTGAATACTTTCCGAATGCACTGTATGTGACTGTGGCCCCTGGACACGGGTAGAATATTGGATATGACACACACACACACACACACACACACAATTCATTTAGAGCTGGTGGTCTTGGCAGAAATATATAAATACACTACTTGGAAAAGTAGCCAATACAAGGACTGGTGTAACTCTATATTGCAGGCATTTCATTACATTCACAGCACATTTTATTGATCTAGTTGTACAACCACATCCCACGCCACACACATCCCAGGAAACCACATCCCACGCCACACACATCCCAGGAAACCACATCCCACGCCACACACATCCCAGGAAACCACATCCCACGCCACACACATCCCAGGAAACCACATCCCACGCCACACACATCCCAGGAAACCCATCACCCCACGCCACACACATCCCAGGAAACCTCCATCCCACGCCAACACCATCCCAGGAAACCTCATCCCACGCCACACACCATCCCAGGAAACCATCCTCCCACGCCACACCAATCCCAGGAGGAAACCTCATCACCACGCCACACACATCACCAGGAAACCTCCTCTCCAACGCCACACACCATCCAAGGAAACCTCCATCCCCACGCCACACAACATCCCAGTAAACCAACATCCCACGCCACACACATACCAGGAAAACCTCATCCCACGCCACACACATCCAGAAACGGAACACTCCCACGCCACACCATCCCAGGAAAACCACCATCCCACGCCACACACATCCCAGGAGGAAACCACATCCCACGGCCACACACATCCCAGGACACCACATCCCACGCCACATCACATCCCAGGAAACCACATCCCACGCCACACACATCCCAGGGAAACCACCATCCCAACGCCACCACATCTCCCCAGGAGGAAACCACATCCCACGCCACACACATCCCAGGGAAACCACATCCACACGCCACACACCATGCCCATGGAAACCAAAATCCCACGCCCACACCCAATCCCATGGAAACCACATCCCACGCCCACACACCATCCCAGGCAAACCAAGCATCCCAGGAAACCACATCCCACGCCACACACATCCCAGGAAACCACATCCCACGCCACACACATCCCAGGAAACCACATCCCACGCCACACACATCCCAGGAAACCACATCCCACGCCACACACATCCCAGGAAACCTCGTTTCATTACGAATGGAAAGAGAATTTTGAGGGCAAAAAAAAAAAAAAAAATTCAAATATATTAATAGTCAATTCTGATTACAACTGCAGATGTCCTCATCTTCTAACCCTTGTGTTAAATATAAAACATGATTTCCACATGTTAATGTTTCACCAAATGAACAAAAAAGAGTGCTTGAGAATGATGGCATAGTACTTATTACAAGGGGGTGGCTCGACTGAATACACGGTGGGCCTATTGAGTCATCTTCCTACGGACGGACATGGGATCTCTCCACGGTACTCTTCACTGTGGCTTGGAGCTCAGCAGAGATAATAGAATGACAAAAGTTATTTTTTTTAAATCACCCCAACTGTTACAAGGTAGCGTTCATCACTGGTCTGGTTGCCGAGTGAGTGGGCATTGTGCTGCAGAGCTAGTTCAGTACAGACGCCTGGGATTCTGCCGCGCTCTTCGTCTTGTGTAATACGCAGCTCGCTTTCTCAAGGGGATTCCTACACACACACTCTGGAGCAAGGGCTTCCTACACACACACACACACTCACTCTGGAGCAAATTATTTCAAATCACAGCCTTTTCTTTGAAGAGCTATATTCCAATTATGAGAAATCTGAAAAACGATGGTAATTTCCACCACAATTTTCATCTGTTGAAAAATGCTTTTCGTTTTTTTATGAAATTACTGGAGCCCCCCCACCCCCACACACTTCACGGCAGGTAGCTTAGTGGTTAAGAGCGTTGTGCCAGTAACCGAAAGGTCGCTGGTTCTAATCCCTGAGCCGACTAGGTGAAAAATCTGTTGATGTGCCCTTGAGCAAGGCACTTAACCCTAATTGCTCCTGTAAGTCGCTCTAGATAAGAGCGTCTGCTAAATATGTAAATGAATGAATGAATAAAGAAGATTGCTTAGGTTGTAATCTACAGGATCTGAGACGGGGTCTGGGGGATATCATAATATAATCTGAAACGGGGTCTGGGGGAGACACCGGGTCTGAAACGGGGTCTGGGGGAGACACCGGGTCTGAAACCTGAAACCGGGTCTGGGGGAGACACCGGGTCTGAAACCTGAAACCGTGTCTGGGGGGAGACACCGGGTCTGAAACCTGAAACCGGGTCTGGGGGAGACACCGGGTCTGAAACGGGGTCTGGGGGAGACACCGGGTCTGAAACCTGAAACCGGGTCTGGGGGAGACACCGGGTCTGAAACCTGAAACCGTGTCTGGGGGAGACACCGGGTCTGAAACCTGAAACCGGGTCTGGGGGAGACACCGGGTCTGAAACCGGGTCTGGGGGAGACACCGGGTCTGAAACCGGGTCTGGGGGAGACACCGGGTCTGAAACCGGGTCTGGGGGAGACACCGGGTATCTCAGCACCACTCTATCCACCCTGAGCAGCTGGTCCAAACCACCTAAGAGATTTAAGAGCTGTGCTGCCTGTTGGAGAAAGGGACTGAACACACTGACGGGATAATTACATTTGTAGCATGGAGGTTTCCTAATGGAAAAGCTATTCATTGCCATTTATATTATATAAATATAATGTATTATGAGGATATTATGATATTAGCAAACTCGCTACTTCGTTTATTAATAATATTATATTTCAAGAGCTCCATTCATTCATTTATGGACTGTAAAAAATAAATACAAATAGCATCATATAAAAAATAAAATCACTGAACATTTTCTAAATACTCTGTTTCTTTTATGAGATGATATTTCCTAAGTGGCTCTGTAAAAAGACCAGCTGTGAGAAAACATCATTGACTAGATCTTCCCTGACGACCCCTGTATATTCTGACAGGAACAGGGTGACAATGAGGTGCCTTGTCATCCAGTCTCTGAGTAGAGCTGAGAAAGCACTGATGGATCACAACGCCCAGTAAGCAAGACGGACGTAACAAGGCAGGGGGCCTTTCCTCAAGGCATACATTCTAGGGTATCTATCATAGGAGTGTCATGTTTCTTTGTGACATATGGATGATGTGTGTGTGTGTGTGTGTGTGTGTGTGTGTGTAAGGTGGGTTTCCTTATGCCTTATGATGGATGGCCATTCAGCCTCCATTTACTAATATTTAGTTGAAAATATAATATGTTGTAACACAGCGAGGCCCCCTGGGGCAGGACCCACTGGAGACTAGTCTGATGACAGCTGGGGCCTGTATCGAGTGGAAGGGCTGGTAGGGCCGCGTACAGTGTGTGTGTGTGTGTGTGAGTGTGTGTGTGTGTGAGTGAGTGTGTGTCCAGGTCAGCAGCTCTGGAGATGGGTGTAGGCTACATCTGTAATGGAAGCCTTTGTAAAGGTCATGACCCAGTATGTCGTGACCTCTGATCAATGTCATGGTCACTGGACCCAGTATGTCGTGACCTCTGATCAATGTCATGGTCACTGGACCCAGTATGTCGTGACCTCTGATCAATGTCATGGTCACTGGACCCAGTATGTCGTGACCTCTGATCAATGTCATGGTCACTGGACCCAGTATGTCGTGACCTCTGATCAATGTCATGGTCACTGGACCCAGTATGTCGTGACCTCTGATCAATGTCATGGTCACTGGACCCAGTATGTCGTGACCTCTGATCAATGTCATGGTCACTGGACCCAGTATGTCGTGACCTCTGATCAATGTCATGGTCACTGGACCCAGTATGTCGTGACCTCTGATCAATGTCATGGTCACTGGACCCAGTATGTCGTGACCTCTGATCAATGTCATGGTCACTGGACCCAGTATGTCGTGACCTCTGATCAATGTCATGTCACTGGACCCAGTATGTCGTGACCTCTGATCAATGTCATGGTCACTGGACCCAGTATGTCGTGACCTCTGATCAATGTCATGGTCACTGGACCCAGTATGTCGTGACCTCTGATCAATGTCATGGTCACTGGACCCAGTATGTCGTGACCTCTGATCAATGTCATGGTCACTGGACCCAGTATGTCGTGACCTCTGATCAATGTCATGGTCACTGGACCCAGTATGTCGTGACCTCTGATCAATGTCATGGTCACTGGACCCAGTATGTCGTGACCTCTGATCAATGTCATGGTCACTGGACCCAGTATGTCGTGACCTCTGATCAATGTCATGGTCACTGGACCCAGTATGTCGGGACATTTTTACATTTTAGTCATTTAGCAGACGCTCTTATCCAGAGCGACTTACAGGAGCAATTAGGGTTAAGTGCCTTGCTTAAGGGCACATCGACAGATTTTTCACCTAGTCGGCTCGGGGAATAGAACCAGCGACCTTTCAGTTACTGGCACAACGCTCTTACCCACTAAGCTACCTGCCGCCCATTGATCAGGGACCTCTGATCAATGTCATGTCACTGGACCCAGTATGTTGTGACTTCTGATCAATGTGTACCCTTGATTAGGGCTGTTACGGTGGCTGTATTACCGCCACACCACCGGCGGTCACGAGTCACGAAGGCAGTCAAATTCCACATGACCTGTTTAGTCACGGTAATTAGGCTTCTCCAAGCTCTGATGCTGCTGATGGTCATTAGTAGCCTACCAAACTTGCTAACTGCCTGGCACTCAGCACTCTATTGGCCCTCTAATCACTCTGACATCAATGCAAATGTAATACAAAATCTAATCAAACACTTCATGAGAGCCCATGAGCTCATGTTGCGCAACATTTCTATAGGCTATGCAATTGCGTGAGAAAACAGAGTGATGGCCTCTATTAAAAAGAGGAGGATCCCATCAGCTGTCTATAGGCTAGGCCTACTATATTTATTTCTCAACTTTCCTAATATTAAGCACATTGCTTCTCTTTACAACAGGAGTACAGCCTACCTGGCTGGCATGAAAATAAACCACGGGGATAAGCGTCCTCCATTCGCTATTTAAGTGCATAGATGACATGTATTTTTTCCCCTGACCCTGTTTCAATACATGTGCATGATAACGGTCCATTCTAAATCAAAACAAATTTCACACATATATTATTTAGTATATCTAAAGACGAGATGAAATCAAGAAAGGTCTGATGGGTGAGAATATTAGCCTGTCACTTGTGAATGATATATTATCCCTTGTGAATGATGCCCTGCATAAGAAACAATGCCTTTTTTTTTGCGACTTGTTCGAAATCACTTGTGAGTGATGCCCAGCTTGTGTGCATTAAGGCGAGAAACAGAGCATGGCCTTTTATATGTACTGGTTCTAATCATAGTGGCACACCTCATGTAGCCTAGCCCATAGGCCTATATGTTTTAATAAGGCTTGTATCACAACTAAAGTGGCCAAATAACTTCTTAAAATTAAGCACATTCATCCGCTTTACAAGGGGTGTAGAGCCTAACTGGCATACATAAGCAGTGTGTGAGTTTCAAGTTTGGGGAAGATCATTTACCTTAAAAGCATTAAAAAGCATAATTGCATTTGCAGTCACTTTTGAGAATGGTGTTTTCCTGCTAATGTGACCTTCACACTTATAGCCTACTGCCGTGTGCGCATTGCTGCGCTTATAATGTGAAGAAATAGCCTAATAGTTTATCAACATTTTAAGCTAAACGTTGTAATCCGTTGCGTAAAAAAGTTGATGCTAGTGGTTATATTAATTTGGGATCTATCGCATCCCACAACTGTCCCAGACTATGTTTGGAATATTTATTTCTCTCACAGAATAGAATAGGTCGACCTTTGTACTCTGGGGGATAGTAGATTGACATAGGCTAGTGCTTTTGCTGTTCGTTAGGCCGACTCATCTTGTTGGCTGATGAAAAGTAAATGTGGACAGTTCTTCCAATATCTTCAATATGCGCCTTGGAATTGGATAAGGACGCGCGCAGTTGAGTCCCTGATGTGTCTGTCTTCACTTGTAGCCTGTGAGGAAGACCCGATCACGTGATGGAGAGCCGTGTGAGTTAGAGGTGCTTCGGAGCGCGCAGCACTCAGGGAGAACGGCACAACGGCCACAAAAGGCATGGATTTTCTTAGGGTGCATTACGGCCACACAAAGGGGATGCCGCCGTGAAATTCGAGGCATTATCAAGTGCTTGTCAAATTGTGAATGAGAGATTGATGAAGTGTGTGCAGCCTGCACAAAAAACAAAGCAGAGCTCATGCCTTTCAAACAACTTTTTTCACATCATGCAGCCTTACAATGTATTAAAAATCTAAACATTTAGCCCAACGTTTGTAGAACAACTAAAGTTACATTAATAACTCTAAATTAACCATATAGGAGGACCTGCTTCTTTGTTAACCGCTCAACACAGAATAGTCACGTGCGCACTCCCTCAAATTGAAGGCTATGGGTGGAAGCCAGGAGATGCTAAATGTGTTTATGTTAATTAACGGTCAGACCGACAGTTATTTGCTTGACCAATCACCGGCTGACGACACGTCGTGACCGCCACAGCCCTAGCCTCGACTTCCCTCAAAACAGCTATATCATCTATAAAACACATTTCCTGTTGTTCGTCGTAACACGGACAATAAAGTCGGAAATCTGAACCAAGAAGCAGAAATATTTCAACATAATTTGGATGCAATTTTAATATGCTGCCAACTGAGCAAATATCATTTTAAAAAATGAAGTAACCACTGCAATATGTTGTGTGAATTTCATAGTTGGAAATGTAATTTAATTCCTGTTACATCACAATACAGCAGTTAGGGTCCCTAAGCACTCTGTCAGAGTGACTAATGCCACCTGCATTTACTTCATTAGTCAAATCAATCAATTACCTTTCCCTGAAACAAACAAATCAAATCTAGAATGCAGCTTTTAGACAGCAGCGTTTACATGCAATTACCTCCTACTACAACCAATTGTGTTGAGTTAATGAGCGTCTTAGCAGCGAGAGAGGGAGTGATCGAGAGAGAGAGAATGAAAGAGAAAAGGCCAGTAAGTGAGTAATTAACACGCAGCATGCCAATGTTAATGTGGAGAGATCTGAGAACGTATTTCCATACAGCGGAGTGAGGGAAGTGAATGTGGAAGGAGGGAGGGAAGGTTGGGAAACAAAGGGTGTTACTCTGATTAACATGGGCCTGGAAATCATTCAACTTTTACTTTGAAAAAAGGCATTCATTTTCAGATCCATCTTGCTATTTAATGCACTTAGAATGAAATGGCCCCGTGTAGCTCAGTTGGTAGAGCATGGCGTTTGCAACGCCAGGGTTGTGGGTCCGTTTCCCACAGGGGGGCCAGTATGAAAAATGTATGCACTCACTAACTGTAAGTCGCTCTGGATAAGAGCGTCTGCTAAAATGACGTAAATAAGTATTTCTATGTACTGGCTCCATCTCCAGGGGATCTTGTCTAGTACAGTTAGTCGATTTCTCTTTTGCAGGACTTTGCCGTGGCAGTGCCCTCCGCTTGTAGCTTAACGTTCTAGTTTCACCTATTATATTCTCAAGTGGTGTACTGTAATTTCAGAGAAAAAAAAACAAACTGTGAGACAGTATCTAGAGAAAGTGGCCAATATGGTAAGACCCAATCCCTAACACAGGCTTTTCAGGCTTCTGTGCACTGACTCAGATCCTAGTCTGTCCAAGGAGTTGCAGAGCCAGACCCTCCCCTGTCTAAGCCCTTGTGTTGGTCTTTCAGTCAGTGAGCGGAATCAGAACGGCACAACCAGTCCACATCTCAAATGTCGTGTGCTGGTTGTCATGACGACGGAGTGAGCGGAATCAGAACAGCACAACCAGTCCACATCTCAATGTCGTGTCCTGGTTGTCATGACGACGGAGCGAGCGGAATCAGAACGGCACAACCAGTCCACATCTCAAATGTCGTGTGCTGGTTGTCATGACGACGGCGGCGGGGGGCGGGTGCTCTGACACTAACCTGAGGGGCGTGTCCCAGCAGAGCCCACAGTGAATTAGCAGACATGGTTTTGATCTTGAAGAACTCCATGGTGTCCGTCTCCTGGCGGTTCAGTGCGATGTAGGGACAGCTCTGGTAGTCTCCCTTCAAACCAAGTACAGACAAACTTCATTTTAAAACTGCATTTAAAATCATGACACATTTCACAGTAAAATTATAAAAACAACAGAGATAAAACAATTTTTTTTTAAAGAAGGTAATAACGGTGTCTTTGGGTTTCAGAACAGCACTAGATAAAGTAGTGTTGGCCTGCTTATTACTTGTATTAATAAAATAGACGAATAGAAGGTTATGGTGGTCCTGTATCACTCAGTTGGTAGAGCATGGCCCTTGCAATGCCAGGATTGTGGGTTCGATTCCCGGGGCCACCTATACTTCAAAAATGTTTGCACACACGACTGTTAGTGGATTAGGATAAAAGCGTCTGTTAAATGGCAGATATTATTGTTTCCGTTGGGTTGTAAAAAGCCACCTTGAGCTGCTCTCCTCCCTGCAGTCTGACCAGGTCCCAGGTCCCCATTTTCCTCAGGACTTGTTTCAGCTCCCCTGTCTGACCGTACGACAGGTGACCTGCAGGACAGGGAGAAACAACAACAACAATAATAATAACAACAACAACAACAAACAGCATTTATAAAGTGCTTTTTCCCAAAGACACTTAAAAACACATGCAAATGTCTACCTTCAGGACTACAGTAAGGTGCACATCTGTCTATTCAAGGTATCCATTTTTGTTTTAAAAAAGTATTTGTGACTCAGAAACCCTTAATGCTTCCTCCACTCACCAGACAGCCAGGCAGGAGTGAGTGCATCTGATATCCAGGCTACATAGCCCTCTCTGAAGGAGCGCAGGAACTCATCGATCTGACTGTGGGAGACCAGCTCCCTCCTCTTCCTCAACTCTTCATCCAGCTGGCAGTCTGGGGCGAGGAAGACTAGTCTGGGAAGGAAGAGCTCCTGACGCACCGACACCCCGCTCCTCCTCATGTACTGCCACAGGTTAGCTGTCTTGGTCTGGAGGGAATATAGATACAATACAGTTGAAGTCGGAAGTTTACATACACCTTAGCCAAATACATTTAAACTCAGTTTTTCACAATTCCTGACATTTAATCCTAGTAAAAAATTCCCCTGTTTTAGGTCAGTTAGGATCGCCACTTTTATTTTAAGAATGTGAAGTGTCCGAATAATAGTAGAGAGAATGATTTATTTCAGCTTTTATTTCTTTCATCACATTCCCAGTGGGTCAGAAGTTTACATACACTCAATTAGTATTTGGTAGCATTGACTTTAAATTGTTTAACTTGGGTCAAACGTTTTGGTTAGTCTTCCACAAGCTTCCCACAATAAGTTGGGTGAATGTTGGCCCATTCCTCCTGACAGAGCTGGTGTAACTGAGTCAGGTTTGTAGGCCTCCTTGCTCGCACACGCTTTTTCAGTTCTGCCCACACATTTTCTATAGGATTGAGGTCAGGGCTTTGTGATGGCCACTCCAATACCTTGACTTTGTTGTCCTTAAGCCATTTTGCCACAACTTTGGAAGTATGCTTGGGGTCATTGTCCATTTGGAAGACCCATTTGCGACCAAGTTTTAACTTCCTGACTGATGTCTTGAGATGTTGCTTCAATATATCCACATCATTTTCCTTCCTCATGATGCCATCTATTTTGTGAAGTGCACCAGTCCCTCCTGCAGCAAAGCACCCCCACAGCATGATGGTGTTCTTCGGCTTGCAAGAGTCCCCCTTTTTCCTCCAAACATAATGATGGTCATTATGGCCAAACAGTTCTATTTTTGTTTCATCTGACCAAAGGACATTTCTCCAAAAAGTACAATCTTTGTCCCCATGTGCAGTTGCAAACTGTAGTCTGGCGGTTTTGGAGCAGTGGCTTCTTCCTTGCTGAGCGGCCTTTCAGTTTATGTCGATATAGGACTCGTTTTACTGTGGATATAGATACTTTTGTGCCTGTTTCCTCCAGCATCTTTACAAGGTCCTTTGCTGTTGTTCTGGGATTGATTTGCACTTTTCGCACCAAAGTATGTTCATCTCGCGTCTCCTTCCTGAGCGGTACGACGGCTGCGTGGTCCCATGGTGTTTATACTTGCGTACTATTGTTTGTACAGATGAACGTGGTACCTTCAGGCGTTGGAAATTGCTCCCAAGGATGAACCAGACTTGTGGAGGTCTACAATTCTTTTTCTGAGGTCTTGGCTGATTTCTTTTGATTTTCCCATGATGTCAAGCAAAGAGGCACTGAGTTTGAAGGTAGGCCTTGAAATACATCCACAGGTACACCTCCAATTGACTCAAATGATGTCAATTAGCCTATCAGAAGCTTCTAAAGCCATGACATCATTTTCTGGAATTTTCCAAGCTGTTTAAAAGGCACAGTCAACTTAGTGTATGTAAACTTCTGACCCACTGGCATTGTGATACAGTGAATTATAAATGAAATAATCTGTCTGTAAAAAAAACTGTTGGAAAAATGACTTGTGTCACGCACAAAGTAGATGTCCTAACCAATTTGCCAAAACTATATAGTTTGTTAACAAGAAATGTGTTATGTAAACTTCAGACTTCAACTGTATTTTATAATTGAATTGATGGATCAAACCTTAGCAGTCATTCTGATCTCATTGATCTCATGATCAGTGCTTTAGTTTTATGTTGTTAAATAGGATAGATGGGATATAGGCTTTGGTTTTTTATTTATTTTCTATTTAACTTTTATTTATACAGGTTTTTCTCATTGAGATAAAATCTATTTTTCAAGAGACCGGGTCCAACAGAAAACTATAAGTTGAATGTGATAGTCTGCCTATAACCAGCCTGAGTAGGCCTATAACTCCCATTCCTCAATCCTTCACCCCCCCCCCCCCCTCCTCTCTGTGGACGTCTTTGAAAAGAAGGTTGACGACATCCGCTCCTCATTCACTCAGCCTATTGAGTCCATTGGTCTCACTTACACATAACTACCCTACGCCTTGACCTCTTTCTCCCCTCTCTCTCCAGATGAAATCCTGCGACTAGTGAGGTCTGGCCGCCCGACAACCCTGCCCGCTCCACCCCATCCCCTCCTGCCTTCTCCAGACCATCTCTGGAGACCTTCACTTACCTCATCAACTCATCCCTGACCCCTGGCTGACCCTCTAACTTCAAAATGGCCAGTCGCTCCCCTCCTCAAGAAACCAACACTCCATCCCTCTGACGTCAGAAACTACTGACCTGTATCCCTTCTTTCTTTTCTTTCCAAAACACTTGAGCAAAACACTTGGTCTCTGACCAACTCTCTCAGAACGATCTTCTTGACCCTAACCAGTCTGGCTTCAAGACGGGTCACTCAACCGAGACTGCTGTTCTCTGTGTCACGGAGGTTCTCCGCACTGCCAAAGCTGACTCACGCTCCTCTGTTCTCATCCTCCTAGATCTATCCACTGCTTTCGACACAGTGATCCATCACATCCTCCTCTCCACCCTCTCAGGGCTGGGTGTCTCAGACTCTGCACACTCTTGGGTGCATCCTACCTGGCAGGCCGCTCCTACCAGGGGACGTGGAGAGGATCTGTCTCCACACCACGTCCTCTCACGACTGGTGTCCCCCAGGGCTCGGTTCTAGATCCTCTCCTCTTCCCTCTATACACCAAGTCACTGGGCTCCGTCATATCCTCACATGGTCTCTCCTATCATTGCTATGCAGACGACACTCAACTGCTTTTCTCCATCCCCCCCCCTTCTGACACCCAGTTGGTCGACATGCATCTCTGCGTGCCTGGCAGATATCTCAGCTTGGATGTCGGCCCACCACCTCAAGCTCAACCTTGACAAGACGGAGCTGCTCTTCCTCCCGGGGAAGGACTGCCCGCTCCAAGACCTCTCCATCACAGTTGACAACTCCACGGTGTCCCCCTCCCAGAGCGCAAAGAACCTTGGCATGACCCTGGACAACACCGTGTCGTTCTATGCAAACATCAAGGCAGTGACTTGCTCGTGCAGGTTCATGCTCTACAACATCTGTAGAGTACGACCCTGCCTCACACAGGTCCTAATCCAGGCACTTGTCATCTCCCGTCTGGACTAATGCAACTAGCTGTTAGCTGGGCTCCCCGCTTGTGCCATCAAACCCCTGCAACTTATCTAGAACGCTGTAACCCCCCTGGTTTTCAAACTTCCCAAGTTCTCCCACGTCACCCCACTCCTCCGCACACTCCACTGGCTTCCAGTCGAAGCTCCCATCCACTACAAGACCATGGTGCTTACCTACGGAGCAGCAAGAGGAACTGCCCCTCCCTACCTTCAGGCTATGGTCCAACCCTACACCCCAACCAGAGCACTCCGTTCTACCACCTCTGGTCTCTTGGCCCTCCCACCCCAATGGGAGGGCAGCTCCCGCTCAGCCCAGTCCCAGCTCTTCTCTGTCCTGGCACCCCAATGGGAGGGCAGCTCCCCCTCAGCCCAGTCCAAGCTCTTCTCTGTCCTGGCACCCCAATGGTGGAACCAGCTTAGTTAATAATCATTAGCTAATAATCATAGGCCTATTCATTAGCAAGTCTTTCAAGTATAGTATTCTTCAGCAAGCAGTGAAGCTACATTTTTATCAGCGCTGTAACAACCACAAATAATGACTCATTCAGTGGGTAATGTTCTTCTGAAACACAGTGGAAATGGAAAGCACAGTTTAGGAAAATGATGTTACCCCCAAATTCACCATTGCAAGGATTTGATGATCAAATATCCTTCTAAACCAAGCTGTAGTTTCAAAAAGATCTGACTGACTTGTTTTGGACCAATCTAAACGTCTGCTTTGTCCTGGACCTTGACCGAGTCAGAGTCACACATTTACATGTAAATTAGTTGATTAACACTACAGCAGAGCAGGGTTCGGTAAATTCCCTCCCAAAGTAGGGGCCTCTTGATTTTGAACGGCTGTAATTATGTTTTATAGAGGGGGGAAAACAGGTGCTTCAACACAGCTGTCACCCCTGTCTATCAGGGCAGGATAGGAGTCACTCATTTCCATACACTGTAGATCAGGCCCTCAGGGGTGTCAAAACATACGGGCCAGATCTGGTCCGCGAGCCCATTCAATCCAGGGGGGGAAAAAAAACGGATCTCAATCAACATTGAAATGACCAAAACCAAATATGAAACTGTGTAGAAATGATAATGGACCGACATTTATAGTCTTCTTCTCTGTCCAGCTTCCTAACGGTCATGGAAACGAGAGCTGATCAGTCAGAGAGCATAGAAAACTCCAGAAAAAAGAAGCGATGGATAGAGGAAATCTAATCCATTTTAAGTGCGGCCCTCCGGACCTCGGTGAAGACCGCAGGCGGCCCGCGGGGCGAAATAAACACCCCTGCTGTCGATGCTACGTTGGGGCAGAGGTTGGATAAGAGGCGGTCGGAGCTTGGCTGGCAGAATTAAGTGCCAGACCGCAAATGCTCACATCCAACTCGGCTCCACCATCTAGGCTCCACGTCCAACTAGGCTCCACATCCACTCGCTCCACATCCACTAGTCTCCACAATCCAACCTAGCTCACATCCAACTCGGCTCCACATCCAACTAGGCTCCACATCCAACTCGGCTCCACATCCAACTAGGCTCCACATCCAACTAGGCTCCACATCCAACTCGGCTCCACATCCAACTAGGCTCCACATCCAACTAGGCTCCACATCCAACTAGGCTCCACATCCAACTAGGCTCCACATCCAACTAGGCTCCACATCCAACTAGGCTCCACGTCCAACTAGGCTCCACATCCATCTAGGCTCCACGTCCAACCAGGCTACGCATCCAACTAGGCTCCACATCCAACTAGGCTACGCATCCAACTAGGCTCCACATCCAACTAGGCTCCACATCCAACTAGGCTACGCATCCAACTAGGCTACACATCCAACTAGGCTCCACATCGCCATCAGTTCTCGGCTGTTTAGGCTGTCTAGGCGAGGGGTTCTCATAGTGGGGTCCGCGTACTGCAGGGGGTCCGCGTACTGCAGGGGGTCCGCGTACTGCAGGGGGTCCGCGGCCAGATAAAAAAACATATACACTATCGGTCAACATTTTTAGAACATCTACTTATTCAAGGGTTTTTCTTTATTTTTTACTATTTTCTACATTGTAGAATAATAGTGAAGACATCAAAACTATGAAATAACACATATGAATCATGTAGTAACCAAAAAAAGTGTTAAACAAATCAAAATATATTTTATATTTGAGATTCTTCACCTTGATGACAGCTTTGCACACTGTCTTTCATTATTATTCTACAATGTAGAAAATAGTCAAAATAAAGAAAAACCCTTGAATGAGTAGGTGTGTCCAAACTTTTGACCGGTAGTGTACAAACCTGACTCAGTTACACCAGCTCTGTCAGGAGGAATGGGCCAAAATTCAAAAATTGTCATATAAAATGTTGTTATCTGGCCGCGGACCCCCTGCAGTACGCAGACCCCACTTTGAGAACACCTCAAAGTTTTTTACATTAATATTACTAACAACAGATTTAACGAATTTTGGCCAAGGGATCTGTGGAATAAGTTTACAGGGTGTAATACAATACAATACAATATTATATTATTATTATCTACAACTTATGTTCTTAAACCCTGGGCAACATGGACCTGGGAGACTACATAAATGCACTGTAATTTAAGATTTAAAACTGCTAAGTTCTCTCTGTCTCATGGCAAAATGTGTAGAGCTGTAGGATATTAGCTTTAAAGCTGTAACAACGACAAAGAAATATATAAAAAAAACAAAATCGCTCTGCCCCATGACAAAATTTGATGAATTGCTGGAAATTCGCTTGAAAACTGCCAAATACTCTCTCCGATGCCAACAGGTGAGCCTTTAAAATGTTCCTTCCCAGGGCCTGAGACTTGTTCTGTCCGAACATGCACTGCCAAAGTCATAGAAAAAAACATTTTTATCTCACTCAAGTTATGAAGGGGGTCCCTGATGAATTTGCTACCACAAGAAAAGGGGGTCCCCAGCCCCCAAACAGTTTGGGGGCCCCTGATACAGACTTCATACTGTATGCTAGGCTACATATGCTTTCGGACCACTAGTCTATGTGATTGACTCAGCAGGATGGTATCTAGGCTACATATGCTTTCGGACCACTAGTCTATGTGATTGACTCAGCAGGATGGTATCCAGGCTGATACGTTGTTTTGGTCTAAAGGTGTAACCTATTTACCATGATGGCCTCAAGGGGGTCTGCCACCTGTTCTATGGAGGTGTTGGTAAGGTTTTGGTCCCGTTCTTTGAGCTGAACGTGCCAGTTCTGCTGCCGGGAAGACACTGTTCCTCTCCAGGGCTTCACGTCGATGCAGAACACCCCGTGACCTTAGAAGAGAGATAGAAGAGGTTTTGTTGTGAGTTAGAGCAGGGGCCCTCCAACCCGGTTCCTGGAGAGATACCCCAGTTGTAACTAACCTGATTCTGCTCATCAACCAGCTAATTAGTAGAAACAGGTGCGCTAGATTAGTGTTGGAGTGAAAACCTACAGGACAGTATCTCTCCAGGAACAGGGTTGGAGTGAAAACCTACAGGAGGGTGTCTCTCCAGGAACAGGGTTGGAGTGAAAACCTACAGGAGGGTGTCTCTCCAGGAACAGGGTTGGACAGCCTTGATTTAGAGTTGATGCTCAGTATGTTCATTAGCACCTCTGATTGAAAGCAGCCAGTAAGCACGGTGTATATATAATATATACTGAGTGTACAAAACATTTCCATGATATGGGCTGACCAGGTGAAAGCTATGATCCCTTATTGATGTCACCTGTTAAATCCACTTCAGTGTAGATGAAGGGGAGGAGACAGGTTAAAATTATGATTTTTAAGCCTTGAAAAAAATGGAGACATGGATTGTGTGTATGTGTGTCATTCAGAGGTTGAAAAAAATGCAAGTGCCTTTTAACGGGGTATGGTAGTAGGTGCCAGGCGCACCGGTTTGTGTCAAGACCTGCAACGCTGTTGGGTTTTTCCACGCTCAACAGTTTTTTTGTGTGTATCAAGAATGGCCCACCACCCAAAAGACATCCAGCCAACTTGACACAACTGTGGGAAGCATTGGAGTCAACATGGGCCAGCGTCCCTGTCAATGTTCACTCTAAGCTGCGCGCAGTAGCCCCAAGACTTCCACGCCGCGCAGAAGAAATATCAGCCCACAGAGAAGCACGAGATTTAACTTCACTCAACTTTCTAGGAGTTTTCCCTGTTAGTTAACACTATCAACGTTTCCCTTTACTGTGGCAATTGTGATTGAATCAACGCAAATTAGCCCTTTTCAATGCAACATACCGAAACAAATCAAACTACGCAAGAGATTTTTGTTGTGGGAAGAATCCGAGTGATTCATTCATTGACAGGGCACTCAGCCCTACTCTACACAGACCGCACTACTCAGCCCCTACTCTACACAGGCCGTACTACTCAGCCCCTACTCTACACAGACCGGCACTACTCAGCCCCTACTCTACACAGACCGGCACAGCACCGCATACTCGCCCCTACTCTACACAGACCGCACTACTCGGCCCTACTACTCTACCACGACCGGCACCTCAGCCCCTACTCTACACAGACCGCCACCGCCCCTACTCACAGACCGGCACGACTCGGCCCCTACTCTACACAGACCGGCACGACTCGGCCCCTACTCTACACAGACCGGCACGACTCGGCCCCTACTCTACACAGACCGGCACGACCCCTACTCTACACAGACCGGCACGACTCGGCCCCTACTCTACACAGACCGGCACTACTCAGCCCCTACTCTACACAGACCGGCACGACTCAGCCCCTACTCTACACAGACCGGCACTACTCAGCCCCTACTCTACACAGACCGGCACTACTCAGCCCCTACTCTACACAGACCGGCACGACTCAGCCCCTACTCTACACAGACCGGCACGACTCAGCCCCTACTCTACACAGACCGGCACTACTCAGCCCCTACTCTACACAGACCGGCACTACTCAGCCCCTACTCTACACAGACCGGCACTACTCAGCCCCTACTCTACACAGACCGGCACGACTCAGCCCCTACTCTACACAGACCGGCACTACTCAGCCCCTACTCTACACAGACCGGCACTACTCAGCCCCTACTCTACACAGACCGGCACTACTCAGCCCCTACTCTACACAGACCGGCACTACTCAGCCCCTACTCTACACAGACCGGCACTACTCAGCCCCTACTCTACACAGACCGGCACGACTCAGCCCCTACTCTACACAGACCGGCACGACTCAGCCCCTACTCTACACAGACCGGCACTACTCAGCCCCTACTCTACACAGACCGGCACTACTCAGCCCCTACTCTACACAGACCGGCACGACTCAGCCCCTACTCTACACAGACCGGCACGACTCAGCCCCTACTCTACACAGACCGGCACTACTCAGCCCCTACTCTACACAGACAGGCACTACTCAGCCCCTACTCTACACAGACCGGCACTACTCAGCCCCTACTCTACACAGACCGGGGCGGCATAACCAATCACAGCTGCAGTAGGCCTATATGCAAATAGACCATTGCCATATATGGATCCGTGCCGTGTACTTTGAACTGGACTGTGTTTACAGCATGAACGGTCGTGAGTAGATGAGCTTGTTTTGAGATCAAAGAGAGAGCTGCATGTAGCCACGTGAGCACATTTTGTTCACATCCTTTGCTAGTTAGTGAGTTATTAGCCCAGTTATAGATCATTTGTAGTCAGCAATAGGGGAGTGATTGCTTTCTACAAGAGCACAAAACGTTGTACATTTCTAGAAAAGCCAGTCAGGTAAAGAGCTTTTTCTTGTCTTAAAGTGGCAGTGTTGTATTTTGGTTTCTTGCATCAAACACCACAACAACATTTTCAATCACCACCTTGTCTGAAGGACCAGTGGATAAACGGGTTAATGTCAAGCCCTGCATGTTTTTATCAAAAGTCTCATGGAATGTAGGTCTACGTTGAACACCACACATTGGCTGGTACCTGTAGGCTGAATTGACAGGAACCAGATATTTCTATTTAAAATGTTTAGGGATGCATTTTCTCCATTGTTTTTTGATGGTAGGCCACTCTGGTAGACCTACATTATGATAAATAGCCACAGTAGCCTACAAGGCCACTTAAAACTGTAACTTAAAGCCATTATCCCAGAAACCCTAGACCCACCCCAATTTGCATACCGCCCTAACAGATCCACAGATGACGCAATCTCTATTGCGCTCCACACTGCCCTTTCACACCTGGACAAAAGGAACACCTATGTGAGAATGCTGTTCATTGACTACAGCTCAGTGTTCAACACCATAGTGCCCTCAAAGCTCATCACTAAGCTAAGGACCCTGGGACTAAAACACCTCCCTCTGCAACTGGATCCTGGATTTCCTGACGGGCCGCCCCCAGGTGGTAAGGGTAGGTAACAACACATCTGCCACGCTGATCCTCAACACGGGGGCCCCTCAGGGGTGCGTGCTCAGTCCCCTCCTATACTCCCTGTTCACCCATGACTGCATGGCCAGGCACCACTCCAACACCATCATTAAGTTTGCCGACGACAACAGTGGTAGGCCTGATCACCGACAACGATGAGACAGCCTATACAAAATAGATCATTGTGGACTATTCTTCCATCAGGAGCATTTAGAGCAGTTCCTGGTGTCCATCCCATAAACTACTGGTCCAAAAACCAAACAGTCGTGAAGAGGGCACAACAAAACCTATTCCCCATCAGGAGATTTGGCATGGGTCCTCAGATCCTCAAAAAGTTATACAGCTGCACCATCGAGAGCATCCTGACTGGTTGCATCACTGCCTGGTATGTCAACTGCTCAGCCTCCGACCGCAAGGCACTACAGAGGGTGGTGCGTACGGCCCAGTACATCACTGGGGCCAAGCTTCCTGCCATCCAGGACCTCTATACCAGGCGGTGTCAGAGGAAGGCCCTACAAATTGTCAAAGACTCCAGCCACCCTAGTCATAGACTGTTCTCTATGCTACCGCATGGCAAGCGGTACCGGAGGGCCAAGTCTAGGTCCAAAAGGCTTCTTAACAGCTTCTACCCCCAAGCCTGAACAGCTAATCAAACGGCTACCCAGACTATTTGCATTGTCCCCCCACCCCTCTTTTATACTGCTGCTACTCTCTTTATTATCTATGCATAGTCACTTTAACTCTACCTATATGTACGTTTTACCTCAATTACCTTGACTAACCTGTGCCCCCGCACATTGACTCTCTACCGGTATCCCCTGTATATAGCCTTGCTACTGTTAATTTACTGTTGCTCTTTAATTATTTGTTATTTTTTACTTATCTATTTTTTACTTAACACTTATTTTTCTCAAAACTGCATTGTTGGTTAAGGGTTTGTAAGTAAGCATTTCACTGTAAGGTCTACCTACACCTGTTGTATTCGGCGCATGTGACAAATACAATTTGATTTGTTCACAGTAAACGTGCGCTGGAAGTTGCACAGAATTTTTCAAAATTTTCAAGTTTGCGCTCAGCAGAACTGAAATTTGCTCAGTGGCGGAAAAAAAAGAAATGAGAGAGGGAACATTGGTTAGGAGACAAATCAACAACACAGTACATAGGCCTAGTTCGTTTTAACGCTCGACCGCGCACCTGTGAGGATGACAAGGTCGACGTCGTCTCCCTTGGCGGTTTGAAACTGGGTCGGGATTCGTAGGTTGCAGAAAATGTGTTCTTTTTTCAGGCCGCCAAGTTTCCTAAGACAATATTGGAAAGAAGGGGTCAAAGGTCCTTATGCATTTGACTATATATAGCCTACGTACAACCTGACCCCTGACCCCCCCCATACTGTAGCCTAGCTAGCTACCACTGTAGAGAATAAACTAGACCATCTCGTTAACAGCCTCACCATACGTACAGAAGACACTGGAATAAATCCCTTACACGTTCAATCAATCATTTAGACCTTGACGTAGGGCCTACCTGCCACGTTGGATAAAGTCCTGTACTGTTAGGGTAGGCTGTGTACTCTCTCCTTTGGTGGCCGCCGTAGCAGTACCGGGTCCTGAGGATAAGTGAAACTGGGCCAGCCGGCTTCCAAACTGAAACATCCTTCTTGTGGATCTGAAAACAACGAACCAAACTTCATAATCACTGGGACAAACTGAGTGTACAAAACATTAGGGAACATAGACTGACCAGGTGAAAGCTATGATCCCTTATTGATGTCACCTGTTAAATCCACTTCAATCAGAGTTGATGAAGGGGAGGAGACAGGTTAATTAAGGATTTTTTTAAAGCCTCAAGACATGAATTGTATATCATTCTGAGGGTGAATGGGAAAGATAAAATATTTAAGTGTCTTTGAATGGGGTATGGTAGTAGGTGCCAGGAGCACCGGTTTGAGTGTGTCAAGAACTGTAAAGTTTCTGGGTTTTTCACGCTCAACAGTTTCCCGTGTGTATCAAGAACGGTCCACCACCCAAAGGACATCCAGCCAACTTTACACAACTGCAATGAAGTCAACATGGGCCAGCATCCCTGTGGAACGCTTTCGACACCTTGTAGTCCATGTCCCGACGAATTGAGGCTGTTCTGAGGGCAGCAACTCAATACTAGGAAGGTGTTCCTAATGGTTTGTGTATGTTGCTATAGAAGTGGAGGGGTGTAACTAGATAAATGTTGACATAAAAGCGCATCACACTACAGGAAAGTAAAAGCTCATTTAGACGGCTACAACTTAACAACAAGAATATATAGCTTGTAACAACATTTAAAAGAAAAAAAAAATGTTTTTGACTGTGCTCTTGGAGGGAGCAAGCACAGCATGTCCCAGCTAATTAAAATCTACTTGGACAACGTATCATTACATTAGCTCGCTGTATTTAGCTCCAACTTCTATATTGCCGATGTCAACAAGCTTGCTTGTTCACGACAAAACACTCGGAACATGAAGTTGACCAAGCGGTGACATGCGGAGGAAACAAAGCAAGCCAAGTCATTCCAAGACAGATGAATAATGCGTTAGAACAACAGACGGAGACATACGTTGAACTCTTCCTTAGTAAAGCCAGAGAAAGTCGCAAACAGGAGTCAGTATTGTAGCATCTCTTTGCGGATGAGGCAGCCGATATCCTTTCCAGGCGTCCAACTCGCTGCAGTGTAATTCTATCCAGGAACGACGTTTCACAATCACGGCTCCGTTCCTGGAAGACGTCAACAACAAACCCCCGTGGAGGTCGGATTTCACCCAGGAAAATGTCACGTCGGTCTACACGTCATTTGGGAGCAATACATATATTTTTGGACATTTTAGTCTTCACGTTCAACTGGAGAAACACAAACTAACAAGTAATTCAATATAAAAAAGAAAAGTATGGGGCGGGCCAAGGTGTCAAATTCTGAGCGAGCAGTAGGATTCAGTTCACATTGCCATGCTCATTGACTGTGGGGAGATTCCCGTACCAGTAGAACATAGACACATGGCTAGCATAAACAAGTCATATGATATTATGGTATGCGTGTGTGTGCTTAATTCAATAACAGGAGGAACATGTTCTCTCCCCCTCCACATCCTTCCTCTCTTATTATGTAGCTAGCTACTGTACCTCTCTAACCAGGGGGGGCATGGGACAATACCTCTCTAATTATGTAGCTACATCTCTAACCAGGGGGCACGGGACAATACCTCTCTAATTATGTAGCTACATCTCTAACCAGGGGGGCATGGGACAATACCTCTCTAATTATGTAGCTACATCTCTAACCAGGGGGCACGGGACAAGACCTCTCTCAAATGGAAGAAACACAAAATAACTGTCAATCTCCCTCGGCCTGGGGCTCCATGCAAGATATCACCTTGTGGAGTTGCAATGATCATGAGAACGGTGAGGAATCAGCCCTGAACTATACAGGAGGATCTGTTCAATGATCTCAAGGCAGCTGGGACCATAGTCACCAAGAAAACAATTGGTAACACACTACGCCGTGAAGGACTGAAATCCTGCAGCGCCCGCAAGGTCCCCCTGCTCAAGAAAGCACATATACATGCCCGTCTGAAGTTTGCCAATGAACATCTGAATGATTCAGAGGAGAACTGGGTGAAAGTGTTGTGGTCAGATGAGACCAAAATCGAGCTCGTTGGCATCAACTCAACTCGCCGTGTTTGGAGGAGGAGGAATGCTGCCTATGACCCCAAGAACACCATCAAACATTTAGGTGGAAACATTATGCTTTGGGGGTGTTTTTCTGCTAAGGGGACAGGACAACTTCACCGCATCAAAGGGACGATGGACGGGGCCATGTACCGTCAAATCTTGGGTGAGAACCTCCTTCCCTCAGCCAGGGCATTGAAAATGGGTCGTGGATGGGTATTCCAGCATGACAATGACCCAAAACACACGGCCAAGGCAACAAAGGAGTGGCTCAAGAAGAAGCACATTAAGGTCCTGGAGTGGCCTAGCCAGTCTCCAGACCTTAATCCCATAGGAAATCTGTGGAGGGAGCTGAAGGTTCAAGTTGCCAAACGTCAGCCTCGAAACCTTAATGACTTGGAGAAGATCTGCAAAGAGGAGTGGGTCAAAATCCCTACTGAGATGTGTGCAAACCTGGTGGCCAACTACAAGAAATGTCTGACCTCTGTGATTGCCAACAAGGGTTTTGCCACCAAGTACTAAGTCATGTTTTGCAGAGGGGTCAAATACGTATTTCCCTCATTAAAATTCAAATCAATTTATAACATTTTTGACATACGTTTTTCTGGATTTTGTTGTTGTTATTCTGTCTCTCACTGTTCAAATAAACCTACCATTAAAATTATAGAGTGATGTCAGTGGGCAAACGTACAAAATCAGCAGGGGATCAAATACTTTTTTCCCTCACTGTAGATATCTCTCTAACTAAGGGATGTAGCTCAGTTGGTAGAGCATGGCGTTTGCAATGCCAGGGTTGTGGGTTCGATTCCCACGGGGGGCCAGTATGAAAAAAATAAAAAAAATAATGAATACACTCACTAACTGTAAGTCGCTCTGGATAAGAGCGTCTGCTAAATGATTAAAATGTAACTAGGGGGCACGGGACAAGACCTCTAATTATGTAGCTACTTCTCTAATTAGTGGGCACGGGACAAGACTGTGCGGCCGAGCATTGTTGCAAACGCTTGGTATTGTTGAATTTCTTGTTATTGAAAAGTAGTGGACAGGATAACATAGAAATGCAGTGCCAAAGAGAGCCAATGAAAACTCTGAACACTGTCATATAGAAGTCCAAAAGTGAAATGAAGATCAGAAACCGAAGCCTGGATTTTCTCTATAAACGTTAATCGGAATGTTCAGCATCTGCCTTTTGTCAGTGAGGCAGAAAGTGTCAAGTGTTCTCATGGATCAGGATGAAGGCTACTGTAGCTCAGGGTAATGTCACCTACGGTAGAGAGAGGGTGAGGGAAGAGGGCCTCAGGGTAATGTCACCTACGGTAGAGAGAGGGTGAGGGAAGAGGGCCTCAGGGTAATGTCACCTACGGTAGCGAGAGGGTGAGGGAAGAGGGCCTCGGGGTAATGTCACCTACGGTAGAGAGAGGGTGAGGGAAAGAGGGCCTCAGGGTAATGTCACCTACGGTAGTGAGAGGGTGAGGGAAGAGGGCCTCAGGGTAATGTCACCTACGGTAGCGAGAGGGTGAGGGAAGAGGGACTCAGGGTAATGTCACCTACGGTAGCGAGAGGGTGAGGGAAGAGGGCCTCAGGGTAATGTCACCTACGGTAGCGAGAGGGTGAGGGAAGAGGGCCTCAGGGTAATGTCACCTACGGTAGCGAGAGGGTGAGGGAAGAGGGCCTCAGGGTAATGTCACCTACGGTAGCGAGAGGGTGAGGGAAGAGGGCCTCAGGGTAATGTCACCTACGGTAGTGAGAGGGTGAGGGAAAGAGGGCCTCAGGGTAATGTCACCTACGGTAGCGAGAGGGTGAGGGGAAGAGGGCCTCAGGGTAATGTCACCTACGGTAGTGAGAGGGTGAGGGTAAGAGGGCCTCAGGGTAATGTCACCTACGGTAGTGAGAGGGTGAGGGAAGAGGGCCTCAGGGTAATGTCACCCATGGTAGCGAGAGGGTGAGGGAAGAGGGCCTCAGGGTAATGTCACCCACGGTAGCGAGAGGGTGAGGGAAGAGGGCCTCAGGGTAATGTCACCTACGGTAGTGAGAGGGTGAGGGAAGAGGGCCTCAGGGTAATGTCACCTACGGTAGAGAGAGGGTGAGGGAAAGAGGGCCTCAGGGTAATGTCACCTACGGTAGTGAGAGGGTGAGGGAAGAGGGCCTCAGGGTAATGTCACCTACGGTAGCGAGAGGGTGAGGGAAGAGGGCCTCAGGGTAATGTCACCTACGGTAGCGAGAGGGTGAGGGAAGAGGGCCTCAGGGTAATGTCACCTACGGTAGAGAGAGGGTGAGGGAAGAGGGCCTCAGGGTAATGTCACCTACGGTAGTGAGAGGGTGAGGGAAAGAGGGCCTCAGGGTAATGTCACCTACGGTAGTGAGAGGGTGAGGGAAAGAGGGCCTCAGGGTAATGTCACCTACGGTAGCGAGAGGGTGAGGGGAAGAGGGCCTCAGGGTAATGTCACCTACGGTAGTGAGAGGGTGAGGGTAAGAGGGCCTCAGGGTAATGTCACCTACGGTAGTGAGAGGGTGAGGGAAGAGGGCCTCAGGGTAATGTCACCCATGGTAGTGAGAGGGTGAGGGAAGAGGGCCTCAGGGTAATGTCACCCACGGTAGCGAGAGGGTGAGGGAAGAGGGCCTCAGGGTAATGTCACCTACGGTAGTGAGAGGGTGAGGGTAGAGGGCCTCAGGGTAATGTCACCTACGGTAGCGAGAGGGTGAGGGAAGAGGGCCTCGGGGTAATGTCACCTACGGTAGCGAGAGGGTGAGGGAAGAGGGCCTCAGGGTAATGTCACCTACGGTAGTGAGAGGGTGAGGGAAGAGGGCCTCAGGGTAATGTCACCTACGGTAGTGAGAGGGTGAGGGAAGAGGGCCTCAGGGTAATGGCACCTACGGTAGAGAGAGGGTGAGGGAAGAGGGCCTCAGGGTAATGTCACCTACGGTAGCGAGAGGGTGAGGGGAAGAGGGCCTCAGGGTAATGTCACCCACGGTAGCGAGAGGGTGAGGGAAGAGGGCCTCAGGGTAAT